CCAATGAGGAGGGAGAAACCTGGGAGAATCACTGCTTTTGGGGGAAGCTGCACACTAAATGTTTTTTATTTTCATGCATAGAATGCAAGAAGGTAAAAAACCTTCACCCTTTACAACCACTTTAATGGTAGAGTTCAGCACACTAAATTTAATGGAACCATAATTTACTTCCTGGCCATTGGGTGTACCTCAACTGAAATAGAAAAGCCAAAAATGGGAACTTTATGTGTCAGCCCCCTCACTATAAAAGTGTAGGTCCCCATCAGTCATTTGTCAATGTGCATAGGAAAGGATTAGGGAGAGCTGACAGTCTTTGTAGGGAGAGTTAGTTGCTACACTGTGCTGTATTGTACTAAATTACTGTGGATTTCATTTTGGTAGGCTGCAAAATCTTGCGTACCCTCCACCTGTGTTTACAGCTCAGAGTACCAACATTTTGTTTTTAGGGCTACCTCTGTGTGTGTGTCAAAAACAGCTGTAGTTGCTATGTAACTGCTGATCCCCCCAATCCACCTATTGCAGTTTTCTGTGTTGTTCTATTTTTTTCACATTTAGCTATTTTTTAGTTTGCTAGGTTAAAAAAATTGGGCTGGGTTTTTTTAGTGTTTCATGGTTTATTTTTTGGGAGATGTTTATTTTGTATTATCCTCTGTTGCTAGAGCCTATTTTAATTTCAGGGTGCGCAGTGTGCACTCGTTGCTAACACAGGCAAAACTGCCCTTTGTTTTCAATACAGAACTGCATACTTGTATGGTTAAACAGTGTGCACCAAAGCACCACATATTAATCCCTAGAGGTAGTGGGGAGCAAGCAGGTTCTGCAGGTCTAAGCAGCTGTTGGGCCTCACCATCTAAAGGTAGGGTGTGTCTACCTTTTTATCTCAGTATAGCCATGCTACAGAGCCACAGTATGTAGAGGAGGTGGTTTATTAGCTGCAAATCTGCCTTCTCCCAGGTTAAGAGTGGTCAGCTGCTGATAACACTCCATCTATTTCCTCTTCCTCATCCTCCTCCTTCTCCTTCTGCTAATTAGCCTCTTAAACTGCCAATATAAAATTAGGTGAATTATTTAATCACAGGCTCATTCACGTGATGCAGGAGGGTTATCTTGGTCTTACACAACCATTGCATCTCTCGTATATTGGGGATGAGGAAGATAGGGCCATGATCATAGAGTAAGGGGACATCAGGCAGGGAGGGGCAAGAGGGAATACTATTCCAGCAGCTGGAGCATACTGCAGTGTGGGCTCCAGTGGTAATGGAAGGGGTGGGTAACCAGACTGACCAAACCGTTTAGGGGTGCCTCTGGAAATGATGATCGTTCTGAGGGAGAGGCAGAGGAACAGTGAGGGTGGATTTTCTCCAGGGGCAGGTGCAGCTTGCAAAGGAGTGGAGGGAGTGGCTGTTATAATCTATCTGTCGGAATTGCCCCGCAAGTGCAGACCACTGCTATACCCAGGACCAATCCACAAGGATTTGAATTCTGGGCCTTTTTTTTAACCATATCTGCTGCAGACAGTACCCTTATGGTCTGCAGACTCTGCCAGCAGCAGGTCATCTGTGATAAAATTATCAACCATTTGGGTACAACATTCATGAGGAATTTGCATGACTGTGCACCAGTGAGCTCAGTGGAAGTAGCACCCCAATGAGACAGGTCGGCAGCAAAAGGCCTGCATTTTTTTTCCTCATTCCTCACTCTAGCGATGAGGAGAGGGTGGATGATGAGGTGGGAAACCATTTATGGCTGCCATTGAATTCCAGAGGCAGACCAGCAGTGAGAGATGATTTTCTCAAGGAGCAGGGGCAGCTTGCACAGGACTGGAAGTGTGGCCAACCTAATTATTTGGCAGTACTGCAACACAGGAGCCCACATGCATGAGAAAACACATGGCTCTGCACCACAGACCTCACTGGGAGCAGCACCTGATGAGATAGCAGTAAAAAGCCCACACTACTACTCATTTTCTACTTTCTAGATCTCTCCCCTCTGCACATCATGCTTCTGCTGCATCCACCACATCTTTGTCCTCTAGTGACAGGAAGGGAAGACTCACAAGAGGTTTCATGTCAAAAAAGCCATGTAACCATGATGAGGAGGGTCATGTAAGTGCTTCAAGCTTTGCAGAATTTTCCTACATTTAGCCCATCATCTCCAGCAGCATACTTCCCAATGCAGGGGTATCTTCCACACCTGGTGAAATGGAAGCATGAAATGTTTTCAAATCACCCCCATACCCAGCTCCTTATTAACAGCTTGGCAAAACTGCTGGTTTTGCACTGCTTCCATTCCAGATTGTGGAATAGCCCCTTTTGGGAGTTTATGGTCTATGTTGCATCACAGTGGCAATGATTCTGTTGCCATTATTTTGTTTAAAATGCCATCCCTGCCCTCCACCAGTATGTGAAATGTAATGTATCAGTGTCACTGGACCAGGCTGTCAGTGGTATTGTACACATGACAACAAACATAGTATTCAAAGAAACATTGACAGGGATAAAACATATCCTTCATAGCACACTGGGTCATCCTTCCAATGGGTCTGAGGCCGCACAGCAATAGTTGCCTGGAGGGCAACGTGCCCTGTCCCAGGCTGGAACAATCCTATACAGGAAAGACCCAAGGCCAAGTGTGCTCACAGAATATGTACAGTTACCCAGCATGCCATCAGAGCCAATCTCTTTGGGATAGGCCAGGGCTGTATCAATATTCATGCTGCAATCTGCATAGCTCCACACCTATTATCCAGAAACTGATCAACAATTATAACCACACTGTCTACGATGTGGCAACTAAATTTATCTTTCAAAATACAAACTGCATCTAAGTATCTAAACCTAGAACTTATTTAGGAGGGTGCTACATCAGTATCGTGGATGTGATACCCTACTGTTTTATAACTCACTTTTGGTTATAAAACAATTTTTAAGAATTTACCTATTTGGATTTTATGGCCTGATGATAATGTTAGGTATGTTTTTTAAACACACCATCAATTATTTGGTATCAAAGATTTGAAAGTAGTGTTAAACCCTCAGTGTTTTATATAACAGATTGGGCCCAATAAAATTAAACATTCCCCAGTAAACTATTTGTTAAAATTCCTAGCCCTGTATTTGCACTTTACAACTTTCAATGCTGCTGACTCCTGTGCTCCACAACTTTAGTTCCTGCACGAATGGGTGACTACATATGATGCTGAAAGAGAAAAGAGCCATCCTGAAATGGGAAACCTGGGGCAGAAGTCATGGTACCAGCTTAAACTGGCAAGGATTTAAAGATAAAGACATTTCATACTCAGTAAACGATTAAGTCAGCTGCTGAAAATGCTTAAAAATTGAGAGTTTAATATCATGTTAATATTTTCTCTGGCATAGCAAATCATTATTACATTGTTTTTCCCATTTGGAGCAATGCGTTCATATGCTCCAGATATGCTCACAGACTGTAAAAAAATGGTAAACCCAAGTTTAGTTACGTATTGTTCTAGCTAGCAGGTTTGCCTTATAAATCATTGTTCTACAGGCTTCTGTTTTCTGTGATCCTGATCTGGGAGATCCAGCTTGACAATTTTAAGCTACTGTTTCCTCACTCTTCATAACTCGGGCCACATTTTAAAGCATTCCTACCTTGTTTTATGTTCATCTGTTTAACATCTGCTGACTTCTGTTGTCCTGATGAATAGTATTGCAGTGAAATTTTATTTCTCTTGCTCTCATTTTGCCCTTAATATTCCCTGTCTGCCCTTCTACATAGGTGTAAAGGATAAGTTCACCTTTTAACAAAAATAATAAATGCACATTTTTAGCAGGTAAAAAAATGTGAATTTATTATTTTGTGTTTCTTGAGCCTCTAAAGCATTGCACCAGCAATCGGCAGATCACTGGTGCCATGCAGGTCTCCTGCAGACCTGTCCGTGTATCTGTGTGCTCATACATCTCATATGGGCAGGCAGATACTTACTGATAGGAAGACTCAATGAACCACCACAACACTCCACAGAGCCGTGGTAGTTTATTGAGAACTACAAGCAGGCAGCCGCAAAGACTGTTGGAACTTGTAGTGTTCTCCTTCACAGAATACTGTGAATGAGTGATGTGGCCAGGCAGGCGGAACCCTCATGGCCGTGTTTTTTAAAAAATTGTGACAGCTAGCGGGGGGGGAGCAGATCCTCCGCTAGCTGTCACAATGGGGAGCAGGATAATAGTTTTTTAAATGGATGTGTACTTTTGACCGTCCTATGGAATGGATAGTGGGTATTAAATTTATAACTGCTTTAATAAGAAGGATATCAGGTGACCTGACTGGATAGCTGAATTTATAAAATATGAATATTAAACAGTTCATGGCTCATTATTTAGCAAGTTCATGGCTCATTATTTAGCACTGATACATTATGTTGCATTAACATTACTAGCTTTATCCTGACGCCATGGAATTTCCCTTAATGTGGTGAATGCCATCAAGCTCTCCTGACTTCCATCATCCAATCATGTGCAAACAAAAATACTTTTTATTTTCCTTGCACTTGATTTGGTATTCTTTGCAAAGTACATTTTTATCATATTTACTAAGCTAAGGGAAACTTCCCTTGCAAAGTGAACAGCCTATGTTCTATTGGTTAATAAACCCCATTGCTTGAGTTTGCATATTCTTTACATGCCAAACACTACATTTAGGATAATGTTTGTGCTTTTCAGTGAAGCAAAATGTATTGTGTATTGTACCTGCTTGCTCTTTAGAGAATACCTTTCTACATTTGTTATATAATAATAATAGTTGTTATTATAAACAGTAGTAGTGATAAAAGAAGTTCTATTCATAGAATTATTCTGGTAGAAACAATCTGGCAAAATGCAAGGATACATTTTTTTTTACCACTACTAATAGCAATAATATAAATAGTGCATAAATAGACTATTGCATATGTTCCATTTTCCTCTCTCATAAACTGAAATAGCATATTACCGATTAGTAACACAGGGTTTTAATGCATTGCTGTTGTACACACTTACCTTAAAATATACTTGAGTCAGTGGAACTGAAATTATCTGCCCAAACATTTCTAAAATGAACACTTCAAGAAACCTAAAGCTGTTTATTTATGACTACTAGGTTGAAGCCCGAAAGAATATTGTTAAAACACTTGAAGAATGTGATCTTGGCAACTCTGAAAAGTGTGTCCGGATTAATTCTGTGTCCAGCGGCCTTGCAGAAGAAGATCTGGAAGTCATCTTACAGTCAAGAGTCTTACCCTCTTGTATCATGCTCCCCAAGGTTGAGTCTGCTGAAGAGATAAATTGGGTGAGTTTCATATCCCCTTTCTTTAGTTTGCAATATCTTCCAGCCTAGCAAACCTTGTGCAGTAAACAATGAGTCTGATTAAGCAAAGGATCTTAAAATGTTCACACAATAAATTGTGTGAAGATTTACTTCAATTATCCAATCATGTGAAAAGAAAATCCCTGTTCACTTATTTTATCCGCACATGATTAGATGATTGAAGTGAATATTCACACAATTTATTGTGTGAACATTCTCTAGTCCCTTAGTAAATGAACCTCATTATCTCTTTGCAGTTTTGACATTTTTATATATACAATAAAAATAATTAAGGTTCTAAATATAAATAAAAAGCAGGGGGGAGGGGCTTTTATGTACTTTGAGATTTGTGCCAAGAGGGCAAATCAGAGATGGAAATCAACAACCTAAAAAAAAAAGTGTCTTCTAGCTTATAGATTGAGTTATTGCTTAGTATAATACATTTAATGTTTAATTAGTACTAAGTTGTAAACATGTTAGTTTACAGGGACATAAAGTTGTTAAACCAAAACACCTTGGCTAGTTATGGTAAGCTCTCGGAGAGCCATGGCATGCTACAGTACAATCATAAAATATTTACTGGGATATAACAAATTTATTGTACTTATATTGCTTCAAATTTAAACATATACATAAAAATAGTACAGCCTGTCCTCAAAAAATCTACAGGCTTTGGCAACCATGTGTAGATCTGATACAGGACCCCCAGCCAGCAGGTCAAATCCAGGAGTAAGCCAGCCCCAAACATATAATGAGTTTACCTAAACTAAAACTAATAGATTTATTTCTTCAGTGTGGACATGGAAGTTTGTAATGTGGGAGCTTCTCTCCTTTGGTTGAGTCTCCACACTGACACCCCTATGCAGTGTTAAAAATATTAGTTGGTGCCAGAAAGCCATCAGACTAATATGTGTGTATGTATGTTTAGGTTTTCTGTATGCTAGTTTAAGGTTTTTTACACAAAATGTCTTAAAATGCAAAAATAAACATCTTTAAAAAATCAGATGTCATGATAATATGAATATAACTTGTAAGAACTGAATATTTTTTATTGTGCAGCTACTTAAAGTAGATTTTCCAGGTACAGATTTCTAGAAATTTGTGCCAAGAAATCAGGGATATTTGGAAAATAACAAGTGTGTTTTTTATAGACCCTACTTGGAATTATGCAACAGACACTTCTTTATTGTAATGCTTAAAATGTTTTCAGTACCACCAAGATGTGTAATGTGCTAAAGGATTTCTCCTGTCACTATATATAAAATAATGTACATAAATTATAAAAAGTGCAAAAAAATATGGGTACCTAAGTTATGTTTTGTATCTGAAATTTATAGATAAAAAACTAAAGATTTTTTTTTAGTTCAATACTTTTTAGCTTAAGCAAAAGTTTTTCATTTTCTATACCATTATTATTTTCTGTAGTCTACACCCTTGCCAATAATAGCTAAGCAGTACTTAGGATTTTATCTGTCAGTCCATTTACATAATTGCCCCACTGTGTTTCCATCTTGGACTCCTTAGTACATTTGATATATCAATGTATATTTAAACTGTCATTTTCATGTGAAGGAATAACATCTTATGTTCATTCACACACATACTACATTATTAAAGGATCTCTCTATCTAAAACTGATCTTTCAGCATTACCATTCAGACTATCTGATGATTTTTCTGTCTCTGAGGGTCTGCAGTGGCAAATCCTCTATGTTTAAGATCCTAGGACTGCAAATCTTCTTTGAACACTACAAGAGGGGTAGTACTTGCTCTGTTGGACTGTTGAAATTATTTATTGCAACAGGAGGTGTAGGAAACTCAACTTCCCAAGGTAGTAGAAACAGAACCACATGAAGTCCATGTGTGAAAATGATCTTTTGGGGACTCAGTCCACAACACTCCACCAATAATAAAATAGCACTTTAAGGTGTACATACCCTTGTGTGATATTTCAGTATAAGTATTTACACCTTTTAATATAGAACAAATCTTAAGAAAATAAATTAAACATATATAGCACATAGTTTAGTGCTATAACATTTAAAACATGATATTTTGAGCTAACATAAATTGTCATTGCATCCAGGTTAACGAAAACCCATATTCAGAAAATGGCTGCTTACTGCTGAACTTTATTTTGAAAATGCTAATTACCTGGTGGTTGTTCCATACTTTCTGAGTCACTGACCCAGAAAATTTATACAGATAAGGAATTATGACTTTATAAAGTGAGCATTCCAGGTCAGTAACTCAAAGTATTGAGTCTAGAGGCAGCCAGTTATCTAGCATTTTCAGAAGAAGGTAGTAGTGGCAGTTTAATTTCTGCCAGTAAAGATGTCTTTTTTTTTTTTAAAAGGGACAGAAAATGAATATATACCACTTCATAACAGAGGTCTGACATGGTGTACATGCATAGCTTAAAAGTGAAATTATTTTGTTGTAATAATATTAGCCGTATTGCTGCATATAAATGAATCCCTCAGTTTATTTGGACCAAGCTTGCAAAGAACTAGACTTGCTTTGGTTTGCTAGAAAGTAAAAAAAAAAACTCTTTTATGTAATAATTTTGCTAAATGATATATCACAAATACTTTTTTGCTGATAATGTTACACCCTTCCTTGAATAAGCTAAGCCCTGTTACAGTCATATGTGCATACACCGTATAGCCAGATCAGGTGCATGCCAACATTTTAAGAAGCATAAATTAAAGAATCTGGTGGTCATATAAGAATGTATATTTCAAATGTATTTGAATACACATAATGTAACACAATCTGCACTTTGGAATAAGGTGCTATTTAACCAAAAATGCTGCATTTTTTTTAATAAAGTTGTTTTACAAACCTATATGATTCTTTTTTTTTCTTTTTTTTTACTGTACAATGCCGATAACAGTTGAGCTTTTATCAAAACACAGTGCTGACCTCGAGTGCATTAGACATTGAGAAGAGTATAGTGGATTCTGGCTTTATACACACCCACACATACGCACACGTATTACTGAAATCTGAATCTCAAACATAAATATGATCTGCAGTTTTCATTGTTTGAATTTGCAAATGTGAGCCATCCAGTGCTTTAGAGGTGATTCTTCTTCATCAACAGACACATTTTGTTCAGTGTTTTCACCTATACAAACTGTAACATTTATTTTCATTGACAACATTACACAGCAATTTATAAGAAATATCATACAAAGTCTCTTTATTTCTTTTTTTTTTTTTTTAATTTATGAGGGTTTATGCAGTCATTTCAAAGATCCACGCCTTTCCCCAAAGTATATCACTTACTGCTGTGTGTCCAGATTTAGAACTAATTAGTTAGTTATAATGCATATACTGTAGAGTAGGCAATATCCCTCATCTTACGGTCTGTCATTGTATAACAATCTTCTATTGAAATGACAACCCCAAAGAGCCAGCAACTAAACCTTCATGCATGTATTAATATTGCACTTGTAATCATTTGCTAAGTAGCATAGTACATCCATATACCATAACCTTCATATACAATAACCTCTTAAAGGTAGTCAGGATTCGAATATTATCTCACCTCTAAAGAGAACCTTTGGTTGCCATTGGTTACAAGACTTCACTGCACTTTACGACATTTAGTTGCCAAATCCATCATGGTAGGCAATGTATCATTGAATAAATATTATTGGCCAATAGCTTTAATTAATATATATTATACAGCAAATCTAAGCATTTGAAAATTTAACTGTTGAAGAACTAGAAATCCCAGCAAGCCCTGTGAGGAGCAGATTGTCCACAGCATTATAGTGTGTGAAATGGAGGAAAATACATCCATCCCTTTTATCAAAATCTGCTACATGTAAGGTTTAGAAATCATTTTACTGTTGAAATCCATGCTACCATTTCTGAATAATCATCATTGAGAAATCATGAATTTTGGCATTTATTTAAATTTCACTTTTGTGGAAATCTTTAAAGTAGCAGTATGGGGCAACACTGTCTGGGTGTTACAGATAATTATTCAACATGGTCACATTCAGTGTGATTTTGTAATAGTAATACAGTCACATAACATGTTCTTGTTATCTAATTATTAACCCTGCATGAACAGAGTTTTTTTTTTCTGTTGGACAATGATTGGAATTGACATTTTGAATAAAATATTAGTCAGCTTTCCTCTGACACACCTAAAAATTTAAATATGTTTATACATAATTACTTTGTTAAGCTTTATGTCAAAAAGTATGACAAAATGACCAGTTATTAATTTTCATTATCACAGCTACTCAATGAGTTGAAAGTCAGTTCAAAACCTTGTAATATGTCTTCTTAGAATAGTGCAATATCATACATCAATATAGTCAAGAGAACACATCAACATGAGAGACAAAATTGCTTATAAAGAAAAAAAAAGGGACAGGGTCACTTCTCAGGGCACCTGGGAGAGCAAACAGGAAGCTTTTAACTAGTGTTTTAATTAGCACAGATATTATTTCCTGAACTGTTCTCTACTTCTTCTTTTTTTAATTGCTGACAGGTGTGTTTGTGTTTCATGACTGCGTTTTCAGCCAATAAAATCCTGGAAATGTTAAGTGGCATGTCAAATGTCTTTACAAAACGTGTAAATAATCTAATTGCACAAAAGAAATTATAACTAGCAAATTAATTGCAGCATGTCATTTTTATGATGCCATGTAAAAGATATTGTACCTTTAGCACATTACGTTTAAATATAGTGCACATTTCAGGTATATTCTATACAGATATAAGCAACCAGGTGCATGCAGTGCCACATGAATGGCTACTATACATTGAGAAAATTATGAGAGATGTTCATAGCCATTAATTAAAAAAAAAAGGGGGGGGATCTCAAGGTGTAATCTTAAAAATAAAATGAATACATTTTGGGTTATTTGTTACTAGCACATGTTAAATAAATACTTTGTTTTCTCAGTTTCCAGTTTAATTTATTTTTTTTCCTCTTCTTCTGATATTGTTGTCAACATT